AAAAATATTAACTATTATTCCATAATTTCTCTAAATAATTATTTTTTAAACATTGACCATGTTTTGTTTAAAGTGAAAAGAGAAATTTATATTGTAAAAATTTTGAATTTCTTGTCAATTACTTTTTAAACATCGAGTGTCTATTACTAAAAAATATTTAGAATAGATGAAAGTGATCATGTTGAAAACATTCTATTTTGATTTAATTTTAACTGTTAGAGTAATTATAAAAATAAAACTCTCGTGTTAAGTCTGATTAGGAAACATATAATATAAAATATGATTTAATATTTAGTTTAAATTATTTGTTATTTTTATTTAAATTATTTTATTATATCTCAATTCAAATTTTTTTATTATTAGAAAGTTTTAAAAAAATATTAACTATTATTCCATAATTTCTTTGGATAATTATTTTTTAAACATTGACCATGTTTTGTTTAAAGTGAAAAGAGAAATTTATATTGTGAAAATTTTGAATTTTTTGTCAATTACTTTTTAAATATCGAGTGTCTATTACTCAAAAATATTTAGAACAGATGAAAGTGATCATGTTGAAAACATTCTATTTTGATTTAATTTTAACTGTTAGAGTAATTATAAAAAAAAAAATCTCTCGTGTTAAGTCTGATTAGGAAACATATAATATAAAATATGATTTAATATTTAGTTTAAATTATTTGTTATTTTTATATAAATTATTTTATTATATCTCTAATTCAAATTTTTTTTATTATTAGAAAGTTTAAAAAAAAAATATTAACTATTATTCCATAATTTCTTTAGATAATTATTTTTTAAACATTGACCATGTTTTGTTTAAAGTGAAAAGAGAAATTTATATTGTGAAAATTTTGAATTTCTTGTCAATTACTTTTTAAACATCGAGTGTCTATTACTCAAAAATATTTAGAACAGATGAAAGTGATCATGCTGAAGACATTCCAAATGTTGTTGAAGAAGATATTAGAGATTGTCCAAAGATGTATGAGAGGCTGAAAGATGATGCAGAAACACCATTGTATAATGGATGCACAAAGTTCACAAGATTGAGTTCTGTGTTAAAGCTTTATAACTTAAAAGCCTCAAATGGATGGACTGACAAAAGCTTCACAGACTTGCTAAGTTTATTGCATGAGATGCTACTAGAGGATAATGTGCTACCTACGAGAGCATATAATGCTAAACAAGTACTTGCTTGTCATAATGATTGCATTTTGTTTCGAAATGAGTATGCATCATTAAGTCAATGTCCAAAGTGTAATGAGTCACGATACCTAAAGAAAGAATCAACACCTGCGAAGGTCTGTGATATTTTCTAGTAATATCTAGATTAAGACGCCTATTTCACAGTGCAGAAAATGCCAAGTAGATGACTTGACATGCTGAAGGTAGAATTAGAGATAGGAAGCTTAGGCATCTAGATTCTCCGCAGTGAAAAACATTTGATGATGAATATAAAGACTTTGCAATTGAAACAAGGAATATACATTTTGCGTTGATAATCGATGAAATGAATCAACCCGTGATGTTAATAATGTATAACTTACCTCCGGAACATATATGCAGAACCTATTTAATAAGTAAGCATGCATTTATGTCAAACAACTATGATTAATGTTAAGTGGTTTAAATGTATCTAACTTCTTTCGTGCACCATTGTTAGTGCTCTTATCACATATTGAGCAGAGAAGGAAGTGCATTCCTCCAGGATAAAGATGCGTCAAATAAAATGGGTCACTGTTTAGGTAATACTATGATACAATGTGTTTTTAATTTTTAGGTTAAGGTCAATTACACTATATATCTCTCTTTGTTAATGCTGGTTTATTTGTTTTTAATTTTTAGCATATGAGTCACTGTTTAGGTAACACTGTGCATATTATGTGTGTCTATTCATTGGGGACCCTTTGCGCCATGGACAAACTGTAATCCCAGTTAATATAAGACCCCTTCCATATGCTAAACCAATATCACAAAACCTATTTCATCATGTTAACTATTTGCCATATGCTTATTATTTAACTTAATTAATTAAGCTTTGTGTTTTATTATTTTGTCTACAGTATTTTCTAGAGTTCTAGATGCTAACTTTTCCTGACAGTAGAATTCATCAAGTGCAAAAGGAGTGGTGTGCATATCTCTATCATAGATATTTAAAGGACACATTAAGCACAATGGATTTATAGTACTTTTTTTTACAAGACTTAGACAATTTTCTTTCAAGGCAATAGGAAAAAAGTGTATATATGAGATTATTTTTCTCTATCAATGTAAACTCTGTGATTGTAATATGTACAGATGCAAGATGTTACGTCTTTAGTGTTACCTTTGATTTGTAATTGAATAATGTAATGTGCAATTGCTTTGAAATTCTGGTATATTAGGCTCTATTTGTAATTTCTATTCTAATTGCACTAGTTCTGAATAGTACATGGTTTATCAGGTATGCTAAAATCTGAATAGTACATGGTTTAAAAAAATTTCCTTAACTTTGGAGAGCGGTTCATGAACAATCGCTCTGCAAAGTCCACTTAAAAGAGCGGTTCACCCATAACCACTCGCAGAAGTGGATATTGTAGAGCGGTTACAAAAGAACCGCTCTCATAAGTTCAAGATTAGAGAGATGTTAATTCTGAATCACTCTCTTTGGTACAGCTTCTGTGAGCAGTTCCACGTGGAACCCTTTTCTTATATTATGTTCTGAGAGCATGGAATCGCTCTCCAAAGTGTCACGTATAGAGAGCAGTTATGCAGTTAACTGCTCTCTTAAGTGTACTTCTAAGAGCGGTTAAGCATGAAACTGCTCTCTTAAATTCAAGACATTGTATAGTGCGAGATTTTATAGCACTTATAACCGCTTTCTATGTTCAACCAAAACCGTTCTAACATTTCATTTATAGCGTAGTGTAGAGCGATTCCACGTGTCTAATATCAACGTTTGAGAGCATTTATTTAACTGATCTCTTAAGTACAACACTTTGGATAATATGAGATTTTAAAGCAGTTATAAATGCTTTCTAAATTAAAAAAGAATCGCTTTCATATCTCCTTTTTGGCGTAGTAATTATAAATAAAATTTACAAAATTGACTCATCTTTGTATTGTTCTCTTGACTGTAACTACTTTTTCAATGTTTTCGAACATCAAATCAAAATAGTGTGCAACACTTGTTGCAACACATGTAGTCTAAAAACAAATGTTGTCTCTTGTCTTGCAAAAACTTACCTAAAATTAAATTGCATAGTCTAAAATGAGAAACTAATGAAATAAGAATACAAGATGTTAAAATGAAATTAATTGAGAGTTAAGAATAATACTTACCAGTTGATGTATATTTACTTTGATTGTAAGTGACTATTTACACAATATTTTACTCTTTCATCCCCTCAATAAAATTATCCAAAAGCTCAAACAAATTTCTTTAATTTTCAACATTTGATTTACATACTTTAACTCTTTTTTAAGAAGAGAAACTCTACATTTATGATAGTTTGAAGGCTTTAAGTATCGGCCATGATTTTCAATAGTTTCAACCATTAACTTGAAGCTTTTTGAGTACTTGAGGTGTGGAATATGATGTCCAATATCTTCAATCATTAAGTTAAAAATTTTTGAGCACACAAATTGGTATTTATCTTTTGTTCCTTTTTCTTAATTTTCTGATGACTTAATGCATGAAAAATGATTTTGAGATGGTGATTATTTTTGTTGATTTTGTAATCATTTGCCTAATATATGTTTTGATTGGTAACTCAATATTTCTTTTAGGCTAATCTCTTTTTGAATTTTAGACATACAACTCGAGTTTCAACAAAACAATTAGGGGTATCCACAAGTTGGTTTAGTTCAGATTTGGAGAAAAAATAATCCAAACCGATCAAAATAGATTGGTTTAATTTGGTTTGGATTTGTGCAAAAAAATTTGAAAATTCAAACCAAATACGAACCGGTTAGTTCGGTTTGGATCATAGGATTATCCGATTAAATAACCTAAAATAAAAAATATATAAGAAAATAGAAAAAATGTCAATTTTTTTTATTCAAATAATTCTTGACACATTATTTTAACGTAATTATACAACATTTCAACATAAATACACAAATTCAAAATAAGTTTCAATTCAAAACACAATTTATTGCATGTGAAGGTATTTTTTTTTTTTTGAAAAAAAAAAGTCATCGCAAGTCAACAGATTAATCGAGTATATCATCGGGTCTATGGGTTGACTTGTGCCAACCTTTTATCCGAACTAAAATACGTTGGATTTGATCGATTTGAATTGGATTGAACTTATTAAGTATATGATTGGATTATTTTTCGGTTTGGATTGTTTGGATAATTGAGTTTATTAGTTTATCCGATTCAATCGACACTCCTAATAATAATGAACTCCTAATAATAATGAATGATTCTGGTTTATAATAGAAAAATTGATGAAAAAAAAGTTTTAAATTTTAAATTAACGGTTTGTTACTTTCGAAAGTAATTAAATAATTCTGTGAGTGACGCTTGAAGAGTAGTTATAAACTTAACGGTGCCTGTTTGAACAATTTGATCCATTCTTCAAAATAAAGTTGATAGCGCTGTCTGAACCACTCTCCAAAATGGGCTTGAACCGGTCTTTAATGTTTTTTTTTTTTAAGTGTTATTTTTAATAATTGACATGTATTTAGTATTTTGTATATTGATTAATGTTTTAAAATTTGTAGTATCTCCTTGTTAGCGGGGTGTTGTATTTGTGTGACACGTTATATCCTATAATTTTCAAAACATCGTTTCTCTGTCCCACTTGTGTCAGATCATGTTTCCTAATCGAAAAACCCTTATCCTTGAAGATTCCGATTAAAACAGAAGGGTTTCAGTTTAACAAAATAAGAGACCAGACCTGTGTAACAAGTTTCAGGTCATCAAAGACAAATGTTGACTTAAAAACTATTTTACGTTATGGTTGGAGAAATATCTGTACAAAACCCTGTTTTTCATTTTCAGATCATTGCTTTTATTTATCACAAATATCTACAGATTCAAACTGAAAAGAGAAATAATTGATGGCTTTGGTTGGAGAAGCATTGCTCTCTGCTTCTGTACACGCCCTGGTTGAGAAGATTGTCTCCACTGAATTCAAAGATTTGTTTTGCAGGGAGGAATTCGATCCTTCAATTCTCAATAAGCTTAAAATCACATTGCTAACCCTTCGTGCAGTTCTGAATGATGCTGAGGAGCAGCAGATAAGGAATCCTGCAGTGCAAGAGTGGCTTCATGAGCTCAAAGATTCTGTCTATGATGTAGACAGCTTGTTGGATGAAATCTACACAAAGTCCTTGCAACGCAAGGTAGAAGCCAAGTCACAAAGTTTTAGTTATCAAGCGCGGAACTTCCTTTCTTACTCTTTCAAACAGTTTCGTGGGAGAATGAATTTTGAATTGCAAAACTTAATGCAAAGATTAGAGCATTTTGCAAAGGAGAAGGGTATACTTGGTTTGAAAGAAGGTGTATCTGGGAGTGTATGGAATGGAACAGTCACAACCTCGGTGGTTGATCAATCTATAATATATGGTAGAGATGGTGATATAGATAAACTAAGAGAATATTTGCTATCAGATGATGATTGTGATAACCATGTAGGAGTGATTACTATTGTAGGCATGGGAGGGCTAGGCAAAACAACACTTGCTCAGCTACTTTACAATGATCAAGAAGTGAAACAGCACTTTAGTTTGAAAGCATGGGCTTGTATCACCAACAATTTTGATGTTGTTAGGGTGACTAAGACGCTTCTTGAGTCTGTTAGTTTGAAGCCAGTTGTTACTAATAATCTTGATGCTCTACATGTTGAATTGCAGCAAAGTTTGAGTGGTAGGAAATTTTTGTTTGTATTAGATGATTTATGGGATACCTATAATGACTGGAATAGACTAAAAGCTATTCTTAGGTCCGGCGAAGTAGGAAGTAAGATCATTATCACAACACGCCAGGAAAATGTTGCCTTGGCAATGCATACTTTTCCCATCCACAATTTAATGCCACTGTCACACCAAGATTGTTGGGATCTGCTTGCCAAACATGCATTTGGAGCCAACCAGTCCAATAGAGATCCAAAGCTTGAAGAGATTGGGAGAGAAATTGCAGCCAAATGTGATGGTTTACCTCTTGCTGCAGAAGCTCTTGGGAGTCTTCTTCGAACCAAATTGTCTGAAAAGGATTGGAATAGAATTTTGAAAAGCAACATCTGGGATTTGCCCAATGACAAGGTACTGCTCCCTTTGCTATTGAGCTATTATTATTTGCCTCCTCCTTTAAAAGGATGTTTTGCCTATTGTTCAATTTTTCCAAAGAATTATGAGCTCAATAAGGAGATGTTAGTTAGATTATGGATGGCAGAAGGTTTAATTCAGTTTAGAAGTAATCAAAGTTTGGAAGAGACAGGAGATGAATACTTTGATGAACTAGTATCAAGGTCATTTATACGAAAGAACACTAAATATTTCCAATTCATGTTCACAATGCATGACCTCATCAATGATTTAGCCACAGCTGTATCAGGAAGGTATTGTTTCAGATATGACAGTCCAAAACCAAGTGAATGTTTAGATAAAATTCGCTATTTGTCTTATAGCAGGGGAGAGTATGACTATTGTCATAAGTTTGATGGAATTTTGAAAATAAAGTGTTTACGAACCTTCATAGCCTTACCAATGAGAAAGAATCCATACCAAGCTAGCAAAAATTGTTACTTAGCAAAAAGGTTGCCACATGATTTGTTCCTAAAGATGAGGTATTTACGAGTTCTATCTTTGTCACATTATGACAATATCACTGAGTTGTCTGATTCTCTTGGAAATTTCATCCATTTGCGATATCTGGATCTCTCTTACACTAAAATCAGAAAGTTACCTAATGGAACGTGCAAGTTGTACAATCTGCAGACTTTACTGCTATCATGTTGTTCGTATCTAATTGAGTTGCCTCAAGACATGGACAAACTGATTAATTTGCGCCACAGTGATCTTAGTGGAACCAAGCTGAAGGAGATGCCCTCAAATGTGAGTAGGCTAAAATGTCTCAAAACTTTGACTTGCTTTGTTGTTAGCAAAAAAGAGGATGGATTAAAGGTTAGAGAATTGACAAATTTTCCACATTTACAAGGGAAACTCTCCATGTTAAACCTGCAACATGTTGTGGACGCCAATGATGCTTTTCAATCTGGTTTGAGAAACATGGAAAAAATTGAGGAGTTAGAATTGGAATGGGGCTGCAACACTGAAGACTCGCGTAATGAGAGAGAAGTGCTTGACCAGCTACAACCGTCATCAAACTTAAAGCATCTTACCATCAAATTTTATGGTGGCACCACCTTCCCAAATTGGTTGGGGCATTCTTCTTTCTGCAACATGGTATCTCTTACGATAAGTGATTGTAATCATTGTTGGTTGTTGCCACCACTTGGGCAATTACCTGCTTTGAAGCAACTCATTATTGACAGGCTCAAATCACTAAATTGTGTTGGAGTTGATTTCTATGGTAGAGGCTCCTCTTCTTTTCAACCATTTGCGTGCTTGAAGTATCTAAAATTTAAGGAGCTACCATGCTGGGAGGAATGGCTTTCCATCAGCGATAAAACTACCGAATTTCCTTCTCTTGAAGAGTTGTGTATATTCTACTGTCCCAAGCTAAAAGGAAACTTACCTAACAATCTTCCATCACTAAAAAGACTCAGAGTAGTTGAATGTGATTTACTTGAATTACAAAACTCAAATGAGGTGGATAACATCTACACTGGTGAGACTAAGATTCCACTGAAAAGATCATCTGATCTCAAATGGATCTCTACTCTTCACTCTTTACATGTTTTTGGTTCCCCAGGTGTACTGTCATTGTTTAACTACTTTACTGTTGGAAATCATGATCCTATACAGATATCCCTTAGGATGACAATCAGCAACAGTTGTCTTCGAATTTTGAATATCAAAAGAATTCCATCTCTCATATACTTTCAAAAAGATGGTCTTCCCACTTCATTGATGCACCTGCATATCCACAATTGTGAGAAATTAGAATTTCTACCTTCTGAACTGTTGCATAATTATTCATCACTTGTGTATCTTACACTAAGTGACAGTTGTCATTCACTGGAAACCTTTCCATTAGGTAGTTTTCCTGTTCTTGAACATCTTTATATTGACAATTTTCCTAATCTCAAATCCTTCTCCATCTCAGATAAAAATGCATCACAAAGCCTTACACATCTCAAAATCATCAATGTAGCAAATTGTCCTAACTTGGACTCTTTTCCACAAGATGGGTTGCCCACACCCAATCTAGAGAAATTATTTGTGCACACATGTGAGAATCTCAAGTGTCTGCCAGAATGGATTAACACCCTCACTGGCCTTCAAGAACTGAGTGTTTATGATCTTCCATGTCTCGAGTCATTTGCAAAAGAGGGCCTGCCTTGCAATTTACAAAAACTTGGGATTGTTGATAGTGGAACACTCTCAACAACATCCATCATTCAATGGGGTACTCGGTGGCTCACTTTTCTTATTGAACTAACAATTGGAGGGGATGATCTTGTCGATGCCTTGATGAAAAAGCTATTGCTTCCAACCTCTCTTGAGTCCCTTTGCATTAGAAACATTTCTTTCTTGGATGGCAAGGGGCTTCAACACCTCACTTCTTTGGAAAATTTGCAGATTATAAACTGTCCAAACCTTGAGTTGTTGCCAGAAAAGGAATTGCTTCCTCTTTCTCTTTCAGTACTTGGTATTTGTGAGTGTCCTTTATTACAAATCACTTATCAAAGGAATGGAGGAGTAAATTGGCCCAGGATTTCCCATATTCCATGCATAAAGTTCAATGAAGAAGTAATAATATGAACGTCAATGAAGATTTTATCAAAAATTACTCTAGGTAAGTTGTCATTCTTCTGAAAATTATCTTCCATTTATTTGAATAATTGATTTTGACACGTGTGTATCTTAGACGATTGATATTCAAACTGCTCCTGTTTCTCAAGAATTTATGCTGTTATGTAATTTTAGGTCATTATGCTGCTCGGTTTACACAAGTATTGTTTAGTATTACAGTGAGAAATCCTTGCATTATGTTATCAATAATAGTAATCATGTGTAAAGATGGGGGATTGATGAGTTAAAAGAAGTTTTTCGGGTGCGAGTATGATATCTAAATAAATGTGAATGTTCTACTAATTTCAAAATGATTAGCTTCTTGCCACTACATTATTAAGACTGGAGTTGTAAATTCCACTTGATATGATAAATTGATCAAATGATTTTGGGTTCTGAAATCAATTTCTTCTAATTCAAATTTTCTTCTCAATCAATCAACATAGTTTCAGATGGTTCATGGACTCGTTAGTCAGATTTGAAATCCATTATTAAATATTATTAAATGCAGATATTTGAAATTGTTAGATTGTGGATATCCAAGATCAAGTTTACATATTTTGCTCGTCAATTGTGTTCTGCTTTGGCTATCAGATCTTAACTATTACTAATCCTATTAGATATTGAATAAAGGGTTGGCTAATATAAGGAGCAAATTTACGGTATTATCTTATGTTATTAGTTGATTTTTTTATTGCCTTACAAAAGAAGTCCTTAGTCTGAGCCAAATTATCATTATAAAAAACAAATACAAATAATTATAAAAAACAAATACATATTTGTATTTGCGTAGTTCCTGTACCAAAATGGTGCCTTCTTTTAGAGCTAAAATAACTTGTTTTCATACATTAGTTGAAACATAATTTAATGATGCAGTGTGTTTGAATGGCAACTAGAAAAGGGATTGAAAGAAACTTGCAAGTAACACCTTCCTCAACTTTGATCAAATTTTGGCTTTTAACTTGAGATCTTGTCCAATTTACCAAAACTTCAGTTGTTGTAGTTTCTAGAATTTTTTCATGAGGAATCAGAATTTTCTTGATGCTAATTATGTAAATAAAAATTAACAAATACTTGTTGATAGTTTTAACTGTAAAGCTTCAATACAATTGGGTAACCATGCAAACTGTGAATATTAACATCTAAAACATTACAGGAGACAACGGAAACGGTGCTCCAAGATCTCCCATTCTCCGAATGTTTATTTCAGAAGAAAGTATGTGTAATTAATGACAATTATGCCATGTGACAGGTATTCTTTATTTAATTTATGAGCGGTGTGAGCAGGCAGTTATGTTTTGTAATGAATGACAGTTATGTCACATGACAGTTATGCTTTGTAATGTTTAATTTAGGATTAGGTTGTTAAGTGGGTGGTTACTGGTTAGGGTTCTGTATTTGTAAGATTCAAAACAGAGAAATATTTTCTGTGGTAAACGTCAAGGTTGTCAAATTCAAGAGTTTATGTAAATTCATGGAGCGTTAACTTGACTCATAAACTTAGATCGTGAACTCATAAGTTTACCTCATGCAAAAATAATATTAAAAAATCCACAATAATGATGAAAGCACAATAAAAAGCCAAAAGCATATTTAAATAGCCAATTCATACATTGACATTGTTATAGAACAAGTTAAAATCATTTATAAATGATGAAAAATGTCAACTTTTAAGCTCATAGCAAAACATTTACACAAGTTTATAAGGTTCATTTTAACAAGCATTGAGTCATTAACACGAGCAAATAACTGCATAAGTAATAGTATTAGATAGAAAGTATATTTTTCCTAACAAACATTGCAGCAAGGTTTATTTTCAGTCTTTCTTGCTTGCAGTAGTGTTTAGCAACTTGCTGAGGGAGAAGAAAAGTGGTTAACTAATACCAAACAATGTCATTTTGGGTGTAAATTTACGATTTCGTCTGAGTTCATCTACAAATGAGTTTATATGCTATTTGACATGATTTCCGTACCTAAAATTGTAAACTTGGGATTGAAAAGACGGTGGACGTGAGTCTCTCGGACATCAAATTCATTGTTGTGCAGTCTGTATGTTTGTGAGTTTCAATAAATATTTCCCATGTAATGTTGTGTGCATATCTGATGTTCTATCAGGAGCTGTACCATGGAATTGCAGCCTTCGTCTTCATTTTCAATTTGGCAATATTGAAAGCATGCATGCTCGGCATGTTTACAGTGCTTGATCATTCTTGAGAACATTTTCCATCTGTCTTAATCAAGTCATCTTCTTTGGGATCAGTTTTGCTCTTCTAAAAGATGCTAAGTAATATATTTATTATTGTCAATGAATTTGTACTATCCGAAAGGGGTGTTTGCACAAATTTTTTTTTTTTTCCAAATTTTCAACGTCTTTCTCACTTTAAAATTTTTTTCCTACTTTCTACATTGGTTATTCATACAATCGATATTAAAATTTTATTATTATTTTCAAAAATACTACTGCACTTTTTATTAAATTGATTATTTATTAATTGATGTCATTAAAAGTCTCTTGTAGGAAGTTTTTTTTTAAGGTTTAGGGTTCTTTTCAACTTGAAGGTCAATCTATTAATGCTTTTAATCCAGGATAGCATTAAATTATTCCTTAAAATCCTTAAGGATCCATGCATTGGTGTAGATAGAAGAAGGCTAGTATTGCTCAATATTGCGTATATAAAACGAGATTTTAAAATGATTTTATTGAAATTATAAACTAGTGTATGATATTGAGGACATAAAGTGCTTTATCCCTTAAATCTAGTTTTATTTTTTAGTATTTTTTATCTAATGTTATAGGAATTGCTTCTTTACAGGACTTGTCATAAATTATATTTATATTTGATTTTTTTTATCCTATTAACTTTCGTTGACAAAAAGGGCAAGTCCACGGGTTGAACAAGTAGTTAAGTGATGTATAAAGTCTCGTTTCCAAAGGGAGTATAATAATTTCTTATCCAAGCAATCGAGTATAAGAATTAAGTGCTGAATAAAGACTAATAGGAAATTAAGAAATCAAGAAATACAAAGTTGAAGCAAAGGTATATATTCGAAAATCAGAGAGAACTAGCCTAGGTTCACCCTTTTCTCCCAATCATTTTACTCTACTCTAGATAACCTCCTTAGCCCAATTAATGGTTTGAATTATTAGCCAACACACTATGATACTTAAAATCCTATTTACAGCACAATTAATTTTGGGTAACATTACCTAACACACAATGTATCCATCTGTTTTAATCTAAGCTTCCCTCTCATTAAGCGCAAGTCTTTAGGCTATGCAAAGCCAATGGATATATTCCTATCTCATTGACTAATTGACTAACCCAATCATAAGTTGTAACCAAAGAAGCATTGCTCACACTAAATTGCAATGATCTATTTCTAGAATCAAAGATTTGCGTAAATCAACTTCATTGGTGGCCAAACAACAAGGTGTATTAAGTATAGATATGAACAAGCAAACAAAAAATTCATTAATAAGGAACAAGAAACACTAATAAAAGAGTCAAGCTACATGATTGAGATCCAAGGGATCCCTCGTGAATTGTTTAGAAATCCATGAGAACAAAAAATAAAATCCCAAAGCAAGAGAAATCCTCGTTAAAGAAGTACAAGAGAAGGGATTAGAATAAAAAATGAATGGTCTTCAAGCTTGATCTTCCTCCCAAATTCTTAAATCTCTTCAACTTTTGTGTTTCTCTCTCTAGGGTTCTTTGATCTAGCTCGGACTTTCTCTCTATAAAGGACCTAAATGAGAACTTTTGTCTTCATACCCCAACGAGCCTCTCAAAACTCAATTTACCCAAAAACAAGACTTGCTGGCACGTGTGCGTGCTCCTCAGCATGAAACTAGATCGTTGCAGCAAAGTGGTCTCAAGATGTATCAGAATGCTGGAAAGAGCTTGGTGTGCTGCGACATGCAATTTTGCACTGTAGCATGAACCTTCTTAACTTGTCTCTTTCAGAACATCCCTTAAAAATAAAAATTCATTATGTGAATGCGATCTCAAATGATGCTAAAATCAATGTTTCAACCAATCACTTAACAATAACAATAGTGAAATGATTTAGAAAGAGAAGTTGGTTTATTTAACTACAAATGCATTAATTTCCATAAACTCAAGGACAAAGCAAGGCAGTCATGCAAAACTTATGGCTTGAAGAACTCCAATTTCTTGGAAGTTATCTCAACGCCGAACTTAAATATTTATTAGTCTTCTCGCAAATAAAAACATAGCCGTGAATACTATCCAAAAGAAGAAAATACTAGTGTAGAGCCAAGCACAATTAGCCATGGAGTATGTTTAGTGGATGGTTCCAATAATCTTGGATGCAGAGGTTAGGCAAGTTAGCGCCCTATCCATTTTGATATGTCTAGTAGAATTAAGTCAACGTACTTTTATGGAGTTCTAAGGTTTTTCAATTTCAGAAATTTTTCTTACTAGATCCCTTGTATAAATTCTATGATTTTGTCTCTTAATTCTAATTCTGTTAAACAGATTTCACAATGGCAGGTTTTGAGAATGTATGTTGTCCTATGAATGAAAATTTTGAGATTTGGTTTCTATGTAGTCTTCTCAATGGAGGAGCATATGCCATGAATGTTGTTTGTGCTAGACAAGTTCTTTCAAATTTTACCTAGATTTCTCTGAAGGGTGCATTTAGTTTTTGTCATGTTCAAGCTCAGTATGATCATTTGCCTTTTGATGAGTCAACTAACTCAAGGAGAAACCTAGCATGTGATATCATGCCATCAACTCATAATTTTTCAGGAGAATGCGGTATTATATTTCCTCTCAAAGCACGGCTCGTGTGTTGCTAACTTTCAAAGCTCCATTTTTTGAACCAAGGCATCATATATGTTTCCCCCTTTTCCAAAGGCCTTACCTCAACAGATTATTTACAATCGCTTGTTTCCAAAGGGTCTGTTATTTGGTAATAGTTATGATTTAATAAAAAATATGTTAACTTTAATATATAGATTAGTAGTTTCATGTAGGTTCAGGTGGAATCAGTTTGCAATTCAGATAGCTAGGTACTACCGGTCAACAAGAGTATTGCTTTACATGCTTATGACCTCATTCACGATGTAGGACGTCATAGAATCATTTTATCAAAAGCATGGTAGAAACGAATGTTTGGGTGCAACCTACAATGCACAATATGCTGATTCAAGTCACTGGGTGCCTTGGGTGAGAAATGTAGACACTTTTTTTTAGTTGGTCGTGGAGAAATGTAGATACTTAAAAGTTGGTAGCCACTACTATTGCTTTTTAAAGGAATTGACGTATTAAACAATCAAGTCCCAATACCACCAGTGTTGTGTTTTCAGTAGTCCGAACCACTAGTGCTTTGCTTTGATATATATGATGTTTTCGTTTAATTAACCAAATAGACAGACCATCTTTATCACATCTGCATACACACTGTATTTAATTTTAGATTTTTAGTGTTCCCAAAACAATATGGTGTTCCGACAGTTTTTAAAATATCGTACCATTCACATTATCAAAATTATTTACTAAATGTTGATCAAACGGTCATAATTTTACACAAGAAATATATAGTAAAATGGGAATTTTATAAAATATTTACATTAACCATACCTATTTATATTACCCGGTGATCAAGCATGTCTCCCCATCACAAATTTGAGGAGTCATGAAAGTTTAACTTAATAATATATCTTTTATGCGAAAATAATATAAGGACTAAAAATAATAATTAAAACCACCTATGGTAAACAAGTATGAAAGCATGCGTACCTTATATTTCACAAAGGAAAAAATGTTAGCAGACCGTATGAAGACTGAGAAAGAGATTGTGGTCAGAGCCCAGGAAAACGAAAATAGTGTCTCCTTCAATCCCGATTATGTTTACTACTACCCATACATTTGTATCACTATTTAAAATTGCTCACTGAAAACTTGGGATGTTCCTTTTATTTGCCACAACATTGTTTTGGAATCGGTCCAAGCTACAACAAGGTCAAGCTGATCAGATTGGTGTTGAATGCTGATTCAGATTGTAAAGGAAAGATGGTAAGACCAAGAATCAAGTTAATGCTCAAATCTGTTCTGTTTCTGCAGACATCACAGTATTGAAAGATAAAGAATCTGGAGTTGAAAAATACCAACTCTTAATGGATAAATTACATGTTGACCTGTACTTTGTGAATGTGAGTGATCACATCATCAGAACCTATAACCTTATTACAAGGAATATTACTCCCCAAAATTCATAGCAAGCTCAAGATTTAAAATGTGCTGCGAGATGAAAATGTGCTGAATTTTAATCCATTTTAATGTAAAAGAACCTTTGAAACACACTGTTTAATGGTGTTAAAAAAAAAGAGACGATTGAAAAGAACACAATGCAAAGATATTGCCATATGATACTAAACAATAAAATATCTACATTGTGCAGCATGATGATGTAAATTGTTATGGTATCCTATAATTTTTAGATATGGAAGGGGCAATTTGAATATCAATCAAATAAGAAACATGAGCACCAACTCAAACAATTATTGAAAATAAATGTAAACTTATTTTTAATGAAAAGATACTTACTTGACCTTAATAAATTTTGATACCATAGTTGAGTGCTCACATTATAACTTCTTCATTGATCTCTATGCACGGAATGTGGCCAATCTTGGGGAAATTTATGCCCCCATTGCTTAGATAGGTTTCTTGTAATAAAGGACAATCACTGATACTAAGTACTGAAAGAGGAAGATTTAGGAACTCCATTTCTGGCAAAAACTGAAGATTAAAACATGACTTAAATTGCAGATTTTCCAGAGAAGTAAGATGTGGAAGCCCCTTCCCATCAAAATAAGAAATGTCTCGGATGCACAGGGACACAAGAGAAGTGGGAAGCAATTGCCCTGTCATCAAGGCATTGACAAGATCATCACCTCCAATGGTTATTTCTGTAAGAGAAGTTAGCCACTGAGAACCCCATTGAGTGACGGATTTTGTTGACAGTTTTTCACAATTGAAGACCTCAAGCTTTTTTAAGTTGGATGGCAAACCCTCTTCAGCAAAAGACTCAAGACATGGAAGCTCACAAACCATCAAATGTTGAAGGCTAGTCAGGGTGTCAACCCGTTCAGGAAGTGAGATGAGTTTCTCACATTTGCGCAACAGCAATCTTTCCAAATTGAAAGTGGATAAACCACCCCGTGGAAAGGAACTCAGATTAGGACAATTTCTTACATACAAGGTTTTCAGATGTGACAGCTTGTAGGCCAAATTATCGGAGACAGAAAAGGATTTCAAATTAGTGCAATGTTTGATTTCAAGATGCACAAGAACAGGAAAACTGTCTAATGGGAAGCATTCCATTGAATGACAACTATCACTTAATATCAGTTGCACGAGTGATGAATAGTTATGCAACAACTTAGGAGGTGGAAATTCTAATCTCTCACAATTGAAGATACCAAGGTGCACTAATGAAGTTGGTAGACCATCATTTTGAAAGGACTTGAGAGTTGGAATGCTATGAATATACAGAGTTTGAAGATAATTGCTACTGCTGATCATCCTAGGGAATACTTGTAGAGAATCATGGTATCCTGCAATATTAAAGTAATTGAGAAAGGGCATTGACCTTAGTTCTAGTAATGACAACACAAGCGGGGACTGAGCAACTTGTAAAGTTTGAAGACCATAGGTCCACCGGAAATCTGCCTCATTTGAGCTTCGTAACTCAAGTAGATCACATCCAAATATCCTTAATGTAATTAAGGATGGAAGATTGTAGGGTAAGTTTCCTTTCAGTCTGGGACATCGGAAGACATGTAGGTCTCGAAGAGAAGGAAATTCAGTAGCTATATCACTCATGGAAAGCCATTCTTCCCACTTTGGCATTTCATCAAATATTAGCAACTCTAGGGACAGAAATGGCTGATATGAAGCGGAAACTCCACCATAGAATTCAGTTCCAACAATTTGTAGTGATTTTAGCCTGAAAATCCTGAGACTCTTGAGAGCAGGTAATTGCCCTAGTGGTGGGAGCAACAAACAATAATTACAATCGCTTAAGCAAAGGGATACCATGTTACAAAACGAAGAATCTCCTAACCAATTTGAAAAGCTAATGCCACTATAAAATTCGATGGCTAGTTTCTTCAACTCTGTTGATGGTTGCAAATACTCAAGTACTCTCTCAAAATGTGAATTTTCTGCATTAGGGCCCCATTTGAACACTATCTCATCAATTTGTTTTTTATTTTGCAAATTGGCTTGAAAAGCATCAATGGCATCCACAACATTTTGCAGGTTTAAGATGGAAAGCTTCCCTTGCAGATGTAGGAAATTACCTAGATCTTTAATCTTTAATCCATCCTTGTGTTTGCTGACAACAAAGGAAGTCAAAGTTTTGAGATGTTTTAGCAAGCTCATGCTTCTCGGCATCTCTTTTAGCTTAGTTCCAGTAAGATCGATGTGGCGCAAATTAATCAACTTTTCTATTTCTCGAGGCAATTCAATTAGATGCTCACAATTTGATAGCAATAAGGTCTGCAAATTGTAAAGCTTACATATCCCATTAGGCAACCTTTTAATTTTAGTGTAAGAGAGATCCAAATATCGCAAATGAATCAAATCTCCAAGAGAATTAGGCAACTCAAAGATATTGTCATAGTGTGACAAAGACAGTACTCGTAAGCACCTCATCTGTAGCAATAGAGCATGTAGCACACTTTTAGCTAAGTAACAATTTCTGTCAGTTTGGTATTCATCCTTCTCTAATGGTAAGGCTATGAAGGTACGCAACTCCTTTATTCCAAAAATAGCATCAAATTTACCATGATGGTCATATTTTCCCCTGTTGTAAGACAAATGGCGAACTTTATTAAGATTGGGACTTAGCTTTGGGTCTTCAAATCTACAACAATACCCTGCCATTGTAGCTGTGGCTAAATCATTGATAAGGTCATGCATTTTGAACATGTTTTCATAATTTGAGTCTCTAAGAATTAACGAACTTGAAACCAATTCATCAAAGTATTCATTTCCTGTATCTTCCAAACTTTTATAACTATTATATTGAATTAAACCTTCTGCCATCCATAGTCTAACTACCGTCTCCTTATCTAACTTGTAACCCTTTGGAAAAATTGAACAATAGGCAAAGCATTCTTTCAATGGGGCAGGCAAACAACAGTAGCTCAATTGTAGAGCTGGCAGTATGTTGTCCTCAGGCAAGTCCCAAATGTTGCTTTCTAAAACTGTATTCCACTCATTTTCAGAAAATTTGGTTTGAAGTAGATTCCCAATAGCTACTGCAGCAATCGGTATACCACCACATTTATCTGCAATTTTTCTACCAATCATTTCTAGCTTTGGGGTTTTAGCGGAATGTTTCACTCCAAATGCATGATTGGCAAGTAGACACCAACAATCTTCGCTTGATAGAGGCATCAAGTAGTGGATAGGAAAGGTATGCACAGCCAATGCAACCTTTTCTTGGCGTGTTGTGACAATAACCCTGCTTCCCTGACGCCCGGAATTTAGAATATCCAGTAGACCATACCAAACACGGGTATCCTGTACATCATCTAATACAAACAAAAATTTCTTACCACGTAGGCGTTGCTTCAATTCCACTTGTACAGCACTAAAATTATTTGTAACTGGCTTTGAAGAAACAGACTCAAGAAGAGTTGCAGTTACCGTAGAAACAATTGAATCCTTGGTCATACAAACCCAAGCTTTCAAGTCAAAGTGCTTATTTACTTGTTGGTCATTGTAAAGAAGTTGAGCGACTGTTGTTTTGCCAATCCCTCCCATGCCCACGATAGTAAGCACTCTTGCACGATCATCACAAGCAACATATGAGAGCAAGTACTCTTTTAGTTTGTTCATATCACCATCTCTACCATACACAGCAGGCTGATCAACAACAGATGTTGTAGTTGATTCAATCCAAACACCCTGAGAAACATCTTTTGGCGACAAAAAGTCACATTTTATACTTACAAGAAGATCTAGCCTTAAAAATAGTGTTTTTAGTTCATCATTCATGCCCATGTTAAACGATGATCTGAATGGAGTATGAAGTAAATTCCAAACCTGACCGGTAAAAGTTTTTGACTCAGCTTCTATCTTGTGTGTCAAAGCCCTTGCTTCAATTTCATCCACTATGTTATCAACTTCATACACGACATTTTTGAGTTCATGAAGCCAATTTCGCATGAGATGAATTGGTATAGGATTCTCCTTAGCATTATCTAGGCCCTTATAAACAGTCACTAGTCTCATCCTTATATCATTCAGTATTGAATACTCGAGTTTGATAGTGAAATCAATGGAAACAATTCGGCTAACCAGCCTGTTGATGGCATTAGAGAGCGCTTCCATCATTAAAGCCATCAATTTTTTTCGTTTAGATTTGAGGGCTAAAGATAATAAGTGAATCAGTAAAAGAACTATGCTTGGAATAACAGAATGGCCTCACCAGGGTTCACTGGAAAATAAAATACAAACCAATCAAGATCAAATCAAATGGCCGGAAAACGAAACGCAAAATCAAAACATGGAAAATAGGTTCAAGAAAAGTATTGCTGTGAACCTTAATTTCTACAAAAATAAAAGCAGAAAAATTAAATTAAAATTAAAAAGATACAGGGAATTAAGAAAAGCCAAACATACCAGGGATGAATCGCCACAGTGAAAGAGATTGCATGAGCACGCACAAGATTTATGGCACGATCACGAGGACAGAGATCTTGGTGTGAATAGTGATGAACAGAAGTCAGAAGCAGGAATGCAAAACCGTCAACGATAAGTCACGGCTCGTGAGGCTGCCAAAAAACGCTATTTAAAACCAAATAAATCTCTCTGTGCTTTTACGGAGGATATTTTCTGCAATATACAACGTTCAACGCAATAAAACAAAATGGTTACTATTGGGTACATTTTTTAAATTAAGCAATTTTAATTTTTTTAATATATTTAAAATTAAAAATATTTATATTTTTAATAAATTATTAATTTTATTATTTATTGATATAAAATTAATGGAGATAATTATTTTAACTAAAAGAGCATAAAGTGTCTCTTGACTTACTAGAAATTATCTAAAAATAATATATTATTTTTATTAAAAATTATAATAACTATTAGTATTTATATATTTAATTAGATTAAATTTTATAATTTTCAATAAAACTTATGTTCTATTGTAAAGTTAAAAATTCATTTTCCGGATCCATGATAATTATTAGATTAAAACAATAAATATTAAAAAGATACATTGTGTATACTCGTATGATTAATTTTAAATCAGCTTAAGAAATTTATTATAATATTACTCTTTTAAAAATTATAAAATTAAAAAATAGTTATACAATATATTTTAAATTATTTATTAAAAAATTTTAGTATATACATATGAGTAAATTTTAAAATTATTAATAAATGCTTAAGAGTGAATATAATTTTAAAATAAATGATAAAATTCAAAATTTAAATTAATTAAAAAATAAATGCATAATGTAAAAAAAAATATCACTTGACACAATAAGTAAAGGATTAATCCTTAAAAATGTTTTTTTTTTAGAATACTTTTAAAAATATTTTGTTTTAAAAATTAATACTTACAAATTATACATAGAAATTGAATCAATAAGTTACTTTTTTTATTTAACTCTTTTAAAGTGAAGTTTTATTTATTTATTTTTTCTAAACTACAAGTATATTTTACTATAGACTATTTAATTTCAATAAAATTATTTTATAATAAAATTATTTTTAAATTAAGAATAAATATATTTAAAAAATTTTACTTTATTATCTCTTTACTTTTGAGAACTCAAACCTTATATTTTTAGTATAAAATAATAAACTGTTATTAGAAATTATAATGTATTACAGAATTTAACTTATTAATAATATTAAATACTATTTTTAATAAAAAAAATTATTATTCATTAATTTTTTGTTATATATCCTTAGAAATATTTTAGAAAAAAATTATTATAATTTTTATATTCTTTTAATTGTCATAGTTTTATTAAGTATTAAACTAAGTTTCTCAATCTTAAATTCTATTCAATAATTAGCAGAAGATTAATAAAGACATGATATACTATTAATTTATATAGATTTACAAAGAAAAATGAATATAAAATAATTAAATAAAAATATTATTTTTATTTATGCATATTATTTATTATTTATATTTAAATGTTCTATATATTGTTTACTATTTTATGTAAACCAATAATATACTATATATTTTTAAATATTAAATAAATTTTTAATGTGAGATACTTATTTTAAATAATTAAAAAATTAGAAAGACTAAATGTGAAAAATTCAAATTAAGAAAAACAAAATTGTTGGTTAAAGTATGGTGGTACTTTTTTTATTCTGTTTGTTCATATCTTTTTTATTTTGGGTTTCATAAAGTGTTTTCATTATGTTATTATAGGTTATTTTGTGGGGTGAATGATTTATTTCTTTCTTATAAGTTTTACAATTTGCTTTACTTTTTTCTTCCTTCATTCTTTTGATCCTTATTTTTCATCTGTATACAACAATTTATAAAATTTATTTTATTTTATTTTTTACATTTGATTTTATGGTTAGAAAAAATACTTATTTCCAAAACTACATGCATTTGAAAAGGTAAAAATAAACAAAAAAATTGTTTGTATTGATAAGTTTATTGTTCATTATCCCTATATTTTTCCGTTATTATATCTCTTTTTATGCTTTTTATTTGTTTATAATTTCAATCTTAAAGTTCATTTTAAATACTCGTTAGATAATGATAAATAAAATAGTGACAAAATATGTAGGTACTGACAGGACTACTAAAAAATGAAAGCAATGATAGAACCAACTCAGAAGTAGTAAAGGGAGATAGAGATTGGAGTTGGAATGACGGTAGTTTGAATAGACCTATCTTTCTATAAAGACATAAAGCTAGAGCGAAAATATCTCTATACCATCTAAAATCAACTAAAGTTCTACACTTAAGATTAGATAGTAATATTGTAGACCTATCTTTCTATAAAGATGAATCTCTAACAAAATGTTGAGGTAAGTTGACAATAGTCCCTTCAAAACAGTCATGAGTTGTTTGGTATGTTGTGGCTACCATATACGCATAGTTTGGATGAAGTTTTCCAATTTTTACCTGTAGTAATATTTGGGTTTATTTATATGTTACAAGTTGTAACATCCTAATTTTTATTACTTTTATTTTCAAAATGGAAGAGTTCTAAAAAAAAGTGTTTTTAGTTCAAGCAAGAATGGATAAGAATTTCTCATCTGTACTCTCGCTCAAATGAAAAATGTCTTGCTCAAGCAAAAATGGATAACCAAAATGAGAGTTTTTTAGAAGGTTTTTGCTCAAGCGAGAAATGTCTCGCTCAAGCAAAATATCAACAAATGTGTAGAAAATTTTATCTAATTTTCTTGCTCAAGTAAGAGTTCTTGAGAAAATGAGCATTTAAGTGACCCTATCATTTAAAAACATAGATCACAAGGAAAGTAACCATTCTCATCTCACTCTCAGTTATGTCACTCTCTTTCCCCAACTAGAAAATAGTCTTACTCTCAAACCTCTCTTGAATGTATAACAATTTCTTAGATATTTTTCTTAGAAAACACTCTTACTGTCAAAAACATAAACTGAAACACTCTCAGTTTCTTACAGATTTTTCTTTCAATTTCACTTCTATTTCATCATTTTATTTTTTTTCAAAAGTTATTATACTTTGTGATACTTAGAAAGAATTCAGTCTTTCAGATAACATCTTTCACTAAAACTTTTGAGTAAATTGTCTATTTTAGGTAAGGAGAGTTATATCCCATCGACTATATACTCTTTATTTCTGTATATGGTTATACACTTTTTATTCTACTAGTATAAGTTTCCAAATGGATTCTTTGAATGCTAAACCTAAGGTTTGACTCAAGGATCATTTGAGAATATAAATTTTTCTAGAGAAAGTTAAGAGAAGAATAAGATTTGGTTATTTGATTGAGTTGATGAACTAGATAATAAATGTTTTATTGTCTCTTGAATAATTGGAATGTGATTTATTAAAAATATGTTATTTGAATTGAGTCCGGAGGTGGCCAACCTATGGCATGATTTGATTAATGTATAATGAGAATGGAGAAATTTCACTATGAAAAGTCAAATGATGAGGAATAAATGATGAAAAGAATAGTGTGGATAGTTACAACCATATACTAGGAGTACGGAAGGTGGAGACGATTTCAGAAATTAAAGGGAAATATAAGATAGTGATTGTTATTCATCATTGCACATAATGTAATGAAAGCGAAAACATCACAGACTACACATTTATTTCTCTACTAGACTCTGACTATACTTTTGCTAAGGAGCTGAGTATTGCACACATTGTATCTGTATGCAACGGTTAACCGTTGACCATCCATACATGTGGAAGACCTCAAGAGATCCTAGCAGCAATGATTGGTCATGATAAAAGTATAGAAGAATGTTCAAACTACTAAAAGATTGTGATCACAATGTACAGAAAATGGTGTATACATATTGAATAGTGTCATTTTAGTATATGTGTTAAGACATTGTAGACATGATTGTAATTGTGTTTTGTTTGCTATTGTAAAATTTTAAATTGATTATCTTGTTTTAGTGATGAGGAGAAGACTCATCCTTACTTACATTTTCAAGCAATGGAAATGATCCAGCCTAAGATCATATTATCCAGATTTTGGTGTGGGAAAGATATGCTCATTAGGACTTGATGTACTTTGATCATGTAATTATTTAAATTAAGTCCTAATATATTTGTTTATGATTGTAAATACTAAACTCCTGAATTGAAGTGATACTAAATATAATAATTATTTACTATTATTCAAATTGTATTTTATATAGCAGATTTTATTGTAACGGGAAATGTTTAATTGTATGTGAAATTCTATCATTTCAAGCATTATTAAACATTTTATGAATCAAATGGCGAAAAATTAAAATTTTAAAAAACTTTGTGCTGATATTTTCTCGTATCATGTTTTAGAAAAAGTTAATTAATAATTTAATTAAAATTATATATCTTGTATGAACTATGCAAAAATAGTTTATTAAGTAAGAGCGTTAAATGTTAGAAGTTGATGTTTTTTGGATGCTTGATACAAACTTTGAGTAATATCTTTCTTAACAATATTTATTATTTTAGAAGTTTTTCTAGTTCTAGGTATATATAGAAGATTCTTTTGAAAGTTGAGGAGTATCAAGAACAGTTTTAAGTAAATTACTAATTTTACTTGAAAATTCACTAGGTATCTTAATTACTAGAATTTTTTGTTTTGCTTTGGGACTTATTTTAAATGATTTGAAAAGAGATTTTTCT